CTCTGGTAGCTGAATGTCCCTGTAAATCTGTTCTCTTGGGGTCCCCAATCTTTTTTTTGGTACCAAGGATCAAACTCCGGTCCTTGCACTTGCAAGGCAAGCGATGGAACCACTGAGCTAAATCCCTGGCCCTGGGGTCCCCAGTCTTGAAGGGGGATGAGTTAGGTTGTGTAAATTTAGAATTAGCCAGCCTTGTATCACCAGTTTTCAGACAGATGCTTCCTAAATGATCACCACCTATATCCTGAGCTGAGCAAGGATCTGTCCCAAAGTTTTAAGGTAACAGAGGAGACGGAAGCAAAATGTGATCAAGCTTTGTTGTGCTTTTAGTTACCCATCAAGCAACTGTGGGCCCAAGTGAAGAATCTTTTTATATTTTTAGCAAAGTCAGCTTTTAAGTCACAGTCTGGCTCAGAAGAAAATACAAATCATGCTTTTAATGAGTTACAGGTGACAGGCCCAGGAATATACCTGTCCTTTGTCCCTATGGTGATCTCCATCTCATTACCTTTTTCTTCCTCTCCTGTCTTTCCCATTGGCCATCAGTCAAACACACTGGGCCCTTTCCCAGCCCTGCTGTAATTCCCTGTCTTTCTTTCTTCCCTTTTCTGTGGTGCTGGGATCAAACCCAAGACCTCACACATGCTAGGCAAGTGCTCTAACACGGAGCCACGCCTCCAGTCTCTGGATAATTCTCTTGGTGGGCAGGAGAGGGGGAAGCTGTGACTCCTTCACAGTAGTGTGGTTCCATTTCCCTTCCTACATATTATTCTTAACCTTTGAGGTCAGGTAAAGATTATAAAAGCCCAGCTATGGAAGGAAGCATGACCATGAAGTCATGCTTTCCGAAGAGATATTGAGGTCCCTTAAGCTTGAGTCATGTGCCAAGTTCAAATCAGTAAACATTGAGTGGCTGCTGTGTGCCAGCCGAGAGCTGGGAGTAGGAGGCTTATGGGACTGATTGTGACTGAGCCCTGACATCAAGGTTTGCTTACTCACTATTTATTGAGCACTGTGTTTTGGGTCCTAAATCACTGAGGATAGGGTCAGCAACAATATTCAATGCATACCAATTATCCCTGTGAAATTGTGATAAGTATGACTGGAGAGATTACTAGGGTTTAAATGTGCCCCCTAAAATTCATATATTGGGAATTTAATCCTCAGTGCAACAGTGTTGGGAGAAGGGGTTCAATGGATGAATGCCATGAGGAAAAGGGCTTGGAGGGGCCGGGGATTTAGCTCAGTGGTTCTGCTGCCTGCCTGGAAAGTAGAAGGCCCCGAGTTTGATCCCCAGTACCAAAGAAAAGAAGGAAGGAAGGAAGGAAGGAAGGAAGGAAGGAAGGAAGGAAAGGAAGTAAGGAAGGAAAGAAAGAAAGAAAGAAAAGAAAGAAAGAAAGAAAAGGGCTTGGGAGTGGGCTCTCCCTCTCTCTTCCACTCTTCTCCATGGGAGGACAGGGCTTTCCTCCCTTCTAGGGGATGTGGCATTCAGGGTGCCATCTGGGAAGCAGAGAGACAGAACATTTTTGGCATAGGGACCCTTATTTAAAAGGCTAGGGGTGAGGAACAGGGCATGGGGAAAATGGGCACCTCAGGATTCTGGGTGGCTGGAGCACCGAGACCCCCAGGGGAGCCTCCATGGGTGGTAAAAGCCTTTGCATCTAGGAGAGATCTTGAGCCTCACTGGGGACCAGAAATTTTCAACAGGAGCCCCATAGGTCCTTGGGGCCTAGGATAGGCTTTGTTCTCTTTAGAAAACTTGACATGGTGCTACAGAGATGGGCTCCTCTGACAGTAGGGAAGAGGTCTCCCATCCAGAGGTGTGCTGGGCCTATGCACACAGCTCATGGTGCTGCTAGCTTAAAGTCAGGCCTGGTGGTCAGGGTGTTCACACCTCCAAGATCCTTAAACACAGTCGAGCAGCCCCCATACCCACCTGTTGTTACACACTAGTCCGTGCCATTGCTTTTGCCTAATACCCCAACCTGAGAAGGTTGCTGATATTCCAGGGTCTACTATGCCATTTGTGAGAGGTTAGTGCTCTGATCTTTGCAAATCAGGAAGTGATGAAGACTAGGGACCTTTATTCTCATTTGCCATAACCATCTGGAGGCTGGATAGCAGAAGTCTTTAAGCCACAAGCTTTGAGGACAGACACACCAAGGTCCAAATGTCAGTTGTCACTATCATTTTTTTTCTGATATTGGGGTTGAACTTAGGACCTTGTGCTTGCCAGGCAGGTGCAGCGCCACTGAGCTAAATCCGCAGCCCTGTTATCACTATAATTAACCATACCACAAAAAATGGAAATAAAGTCTTTGTAAATAGGAAAGGGTGGAGGGGGTGAAGGGAGGGCTAGGAATGGGGAAAAAATAAGAACCAAGATGCATTATGTAAAGGTACAATTCCCAATGAGAAATGTAATTGTGTTGTATACCTACAATGTACCAATAAAAGAATTTAATACAAAAAACAAAACCATACCACATAAGCAAGCTCATTGAATTTCACCTGTTTAAAGGAAATATCAGCAATATCAACTGTGTGGAGTTATGAGGACTAAATCCTATAATATATGTATTGCAAATACTGTAGTTGACGCAGTCAGAGGCCATTATGGGGACAGAGGACAAAGAAATCCTGGGCCCAAACCTTATTACTCATTAAAAGCTTGATTTAGATTTTCTTGTTTAAAAAAAAAAAAAAGGAAATTTTTTAACTTTTTTTTTTTTTTGGTACCAAAGATGGAACTTAGGTCCTTGTGCTTGCTGAGCAGGTGGTAAAACCACTGAGCTAAATCCCGGGCCCCAAAAAAGGAAATTTTTTGCTAAAAAAAAAAAAGTAATTCTTCACTTGGGTTTACTGATACTCAATAGGTAACTAAAAGCAGAACAAACTTGACCTTTATTTTGTATCTGTCTCCACTGTTACCTTAAAACTTTGACTTAAATCCCTTTTCACCTCTGCTTAAAGGTACATTAATACCTTGAGAGTATCTGCCTAAAAATTGGCAAAACAAAGCTGATTAGCCTTAAATTTAATAACCTATCTTGTCCCCCTTCAAGATTGAGCAGACAAGAGCTTTACAGGGATATTCAGATATACCTAGAAATTTCCAGTGCCCTAAACCCATGGTCACCTTGGTTTCCAGCACAGCCTCACAAGACTGAAACTGCCCCAAGCAGAAACAATGATCTCACAAGGACAGAATCGTCCCCTCAAGCAGTAAAGTCTTCTCCCAGAGCCTTCACCTGCAAGCAGAACTGAGATGCTGATCACCAGACTCTAGCCAACCCTAGCAACTCTAAAACCTGGTCTTGAGCTTGTGTGAGCAGGGGAATCAGAACCTCTCCTTCACACCTGTGGCCCCTTTAGTTCCTCAAGCTGAAGCCCTTCCCCCACTTTCTCTTTCCTTTGTTAGGAGATTGGGTTGATCTATGGGAGAAGCTATTCCCTGCTTTGTTTTTGCTCACCTTCCACTTAAAGCTTTTAACTGTGAAAGTACACATAATCAGAAGGAAGAAACTTTAAAAAGAAAATCTACATCACCTAGAGATAATATCCATTAATATTGGTCATTATATAGGTAATATAGTTTATATCTGTATCTATTGCCTACATATACACACACATTTTGTTTTGTTTTGTTTTGTTTTGTTTTGTTTTGTTTTAGGCAGGGTCTCACTATGTAGCCCAGGCTGGCCTCAAATTCCTGGTGATCCTCCTGCCTCAGCCTCTCAAATGCTGGGATCACAGGCATACACAGCCACTCCTGGCTTACATACATTTTGTTAATGGCCAGTATTTCAGTATTTGTGTGTCTGTTTCTCATTGTATTGCAAACGCCTCACCACAGTTAAACAGAAAGTATAGAGGCCATTGTTTTGGACGAAGTTCCTGGACCCGACCCAAATAAGTAAGACTAAAATTCAAAATAGAGTCACCCACGCTGAGGTCAGTCACCAAAGGCTAACCTGTGTATTTGTCCTTCCAAGAAACCAAGAGAAATGAAAGACAACTGCCGAGTTGTCTCGGCAGACAGGCCAGTTTTAGTTGGCATGGTGAAGAAGTTTCCTCCCTCTGGAGCCTTACACACACACACACACACACAAACACACACACAGACGCACTACACACGAGTCCTTGAAACTCTGGGGTCTGCCGGAAGTAGCCTGATCACCGGGCTCCTGCCTGGGATTAAGGCAGAAAATATTGGTAAAGCGCCCGTGGCATCCCAGATTTGGCACAGTGGCCTTGGGCTCCGCTCTCAGCCCACATGGGAGCCCCTAACTGGGGTTACTAGGAATCCGCAAATTTCCTCCTCTCCCCTGCTTTCCTGAAAATGTACTGATGCAGCCCCAGTCCCGCTCCCCGCCTCGCAGTGGGACGCCACTCCAGAGCCGAGCGGAGGCCGAGCCAGGCGCAGCGCCTCGGGGCCGCCCCGGCTGAGTCCCCGGCCCCGCGGCTCCGCCCCCCAGTGGCCCCGCGCGTGTAACCTGCCGGCCAGGCAGCGGCGGGCGGCCGGGACTTGGGCCGGGACTTGGGCCGGGACTTGGGCCGAGCCCAGGAAGTCCCCGGGGCTGCGATGTCGGGGCCCGGCCCGTGGGCGCCCCTGCTCCTCTGCCTGCTGCAGGCCGCTCAAGGTAAGGGCGCGGGGCTGCGGGGAGCGCGATCAACCCGAGAGGGGACGTGGGCTGCACCCTGCGGCCGGCCGGGCGGGGACCCTGGGCCCTCCCGCGCTAGCGCGCCCAGGTATGAAAATCCCGCTGGGGAGGAAACGAATCTAGCTTTCTAATTCCAGTCCAGGTTTGGGTGAACTGGGGAAAGAGAAGGCGGAGTTGAAAAGTGCTTTTTATTTATTTATTTTTGGTAACGGGGATCGAACTGAGGACCTTGCGCTTGTGAGGCAGGCGGCACAACCACTGAGCTAAATCCCCGGCCCGAAAAGTGCTTTTTGTTTTGGTTTTTTTGGTACCGGGGATCGAACCCAGGTCCTTGCACTTGTGCAGCAAGCGGTGAAACCACTGAGCTAAATCCCCGGCCCCCAAAAAGTGCTTTTTAATCAAATGGTTTTTAATCGCCTTCTAAAATCGCGACGTCTGTGACACACTTGACCCCTTTAGTAGAGGAAAGGAAACCGAGGCACCCTGTCTCCCCCCCACCCCCCCAGGCCTGAGCCCTGCCTGTGACTCTAAGGTGCCTTTTCTCTGAATCCTTCTGATTCGTCAGTGGCTAGGACCCAACCCCCAAGCTCCCACCTTACCCACTCCAGTCTAGGGAGGAGACAGGCCCAAAATTGCTTCCCCACCTCCATCTTCCTAGTTTTAGACTTACAATTTAAAGAGCTGGAAGGGTCCACGGACTAATCAAAAAAAATCATAAAGCGCCAGGGATTTAGCTCAGTGGTGCTGTGTTTGCCTCACAAGTTCAAGGTCCTGAGTTCGGTCCTCAGTTTTTAAAAAAATCATAAAAACCAACATTCTTTTGAGCAACTTCTTTTGCCAGGCACCACATTGTCCTATTTAAGCTTTGAGACCCAGCCGTCCTCTGAGGTAGATAATGCTCCTTTTTCAAATGGGGAAACAGAGGCTCAGAGCAGTTAAGAGACTTGCACAAGAAGGATGTCACAAACCCAGAAAAAAGGGGCCTGAGGCCAGCCTGGTGGGCAGAGGGAGCTGGGCAGTCCATCATCAGGTCAGCAGTGCTTTTGCAGCTACTGAGGGACAAGGGAGGGGTTTTCTGTCACACACAAACTGGCTTTGTAGACTCAGGCAGATTGTTTGACCTTTATCTCTGAGTACAAGACCACATCCCTAAAGGGGAATGAATGCCGCCTGCCTGTTAGGGTTCTTTGTCCCAAAGATTGAATGAGGTTTTGCATATGACTGGGGCTCCTTTGAAGGCTCAGTGGAGTGTGGCTACTCTAGCTGCAGTTTTGTATTGGGGCCAAGCTCAAACTCTGGGCCATCCTGCCTCTGAGATACCTCACAAGTGGCTTGGACAGGGACTGGCCTCCTGCTGGGCACTTGCTGGGCAGTCCAGGAACTGAGAGTAATGACAGTGTCACCATTGTGACGATCCAGTCCCCACTGAGGGAAAAGGGTGGGTGGAAGCGGTACTTACTTTTGAGTCTAAAATGTCAGGGAGACAGCCCAGGCTGGCTGTTTGAGCTGAGCTGAGCTGAGAGCCAATGCTAGATCTGGGCCTGTCCTCCCTGTGCCATTGTGCAATGTGTAAGGCCTTCTATCACAGCCCAGTGAGAGTTCAGGGCTCAGACTTCTCCCAGACAGTGAGCTTCTATAGGGCTGGAGGTGGAGCTGCATTCCCTTTGGAAACCCTGGCACAGGGTGGTCAACAGTGCAGGAATAAGGCCACACAGGTCCCATGGGAACCTAGAGAAGGAAGCAGGGTCAAGAGCTCAGACTTTGGAGATGGCCAGGCCTGGATCTGAATCCTGGTTCTTCCACTCATTTGCTGAGAGCACCTCCATTTTCCCACCTGTAATGCTCATAATTAGTACCTACCTCCTAGGGGTGTGGTGAAGATTCAAAGAGAAAATTCAGCTCAAGTGTTTGGCACAGCCTGGCTCATGGGTAGAACACAATTCATGTTAGCTGCTATTGCTATATTAGTCATCACCATCACCACTGTTGCCACCTCTTAGAGGTGTCACAGAAGATTCCCTGGAGGCAGTGACAATTGAATCAAGTCTTTCAAAGAGTAGATGGTGAACGCCAGGCAGTCCAAGACTCTTGTGTCCAGAGGCATCCAAAGAGTGTGGTGGCTTGGGAACAGCAAGAAGGAAGGCTGGGGGTGTGGTCAGGGAGGTGTCCACCTGATCCCCTGGCCGGGCTCCTGCACCTCGATAAGAAGTGTGGACTTCATTCCTGGGGAAGGGAAAGGCATGAACCTGGTATAATCACCTGCACATCTCAGAGAGGAGGGTTAGCAGTGAGAAGGACAAAGTGTCCAGGGGGGAAGTAAAGGCCAGTGAAAGACCATCAGGGAACATGTCACTGAGACAGTGACCTCAAGAGTGTGACAGAAACCAAGAGGTGAGGCAAGTGGATGTCCAGGGCAGCACCATCCAAGCAGAGAGAGCAGCACATGCGAAGGCCCAGCCAGGGAGCATGCCTGGGATGCTCCAAAAGACCCAGAGGCCACGTGGCTGGAGAAGAGGGGGTGAGGGGAGGTGAGTGTGCCTGGCTGGGTCGCATCTTGCTGGTGACAGGGAAGACTGGAGTTCACATGGACTGAGATGGCTGGAAGATGGGTTTAAGTAGAAGGAAGTGAGGTCAGACTTTTGTCTTAGCCCTTGATGCTGTGTAGAGGATGGACTGAGGGGACAAGGTGTTCTTGGGGCTGAAATTGGAGCTCCAGTATGAGAGTGCCAGCAGCCCCATCTTTTAGGGAAATGCTGTGGGTATTTTCTGCATGCCTTTCATGGGCTGCTCCTTTTAACTGGCAGCTACCTTAATGTCTTGTTGTTCCAGCCCCCAACCAGGAGCCCCCCATGCACAAAATGTTTATCCTGGCAGATGATCTATAGCTCTTGTCTGCCCACTGTATGCTGCCTGGCCAGACTTACTTCTCCCCAGTGTCCTAGGGCAAGTGCGGCCTGGGGTAGTTCCTCATTCTTCAAGTAGAAGGTGCAAATTCAATGCATCATCCCAAAAGGAAACCAGACCAAGGATTTATTACTCATAGATCCTGGGCAGGGAGAATATAGTCCTCTGTCCCCAGGTCAGGTGAGGCAGGAACAGGGAGTCAGGTAGACAGAGTGAGAAGCACCTTGAGGAAGAGCAGCATACTGGGGACCACTTCAAGTTCATAGGAAAATACCTGAATGGGCTATTTAAATAAGGAGTTGGTGGACAATCAGGGAGCCCTGCCTGGTAGGTGGGAAAGATGCCTCCAAGTTCTTATCTCTGGCCCAGTGCTGACTGTTTGGGTGTGTGACTGTTACTAACGCTCACATAGCAACTTTTGCTGTGTTCCCATCACACCAGGTTGAAAGCCATTGGACCAGTTAGGAGGGCAGTTAGGAGGGATTCTAGTTATTGCAATATTCATCCACTCAGGAAGTACGTATTGTGGACTCACTGTGTGCCAAGGGCCATTCCAGCAGCCACTGGGGACACTGAGCGCAAGATGAAACCTCCACTCCTTGAGACCCTAGGGGCTGCTGACCCCTGGGGTCCAGGAGGGGAGCAGAGATGGTTCTTGCTCTATGGGGTTCTGTGGGTACTCGCAGCTGCTACAGAGGAGGGGACCTCTTCTTGTGGCACTGCGGGATGGGAAGAGGAAGAAGTCAAAACACAGCCACCCACAGCTCCCAGTTCCTCAAAGTTGGAGGCACTGCCTGACATGCCGCTCTTCAGCTCTGGACAGCTCGTGTCAAGACCGGCCAGGAGCTCCCCGCTGAGCCAGCGTGATGGTGCAGGCCTGGAATCCCAACACTCTCACAAGCTGAGGCTGGAGGCTCACAAGCTTGGGCCCCCCAGCTTGAGCACCTTAGCAACTTAGTGAGACCCTGTCTCAAAATAAAAATTAACAAGGGTTGGGATGCGGTTCAGTGCGAAGGCTCAGGGTTCAATCCCCAGTACTGAAGGAAAAAAACCAAGAGCTCCAGTCTTCATGACCTCTTTCTTCCCCACAGGGAGACCCTATCTAGCCCCTCCCCAGAATGTGACCCTGTTCTCTCAGAATTTCAGTGTGTACCTGACGTGGCTCCCAGGTCTGGGCAACCCCCAGAATGTGACCTATTTTGTGGCCTATCAAAGGTAAGTAGGAGCCTCTGGGCTGTGGATGGGGGCTGGAAGGGTGGCTCAGGGAGAGGGGGTGGTCACCAGTGGTTCTCTGGGTTACATGGCCAATGGCATATGGCAGATATGTGGAAAAGAACTTTTGATAAAGGTTGGAAATAGTGGGAATGATGTGGCATGAAGAACAGTGAACAGGTGACAGGCCTGCCAGGGGTGGAGTGAATCTTTGAGAAAAGTTGGAGCAGACCTTAGGTGAAGTATGAGGGCCAGGAGACCAGGGGACAGAGTGCTTGAGTGCCCAAATGAGACTCTTGGAGTTGTTCCAGCTGATTAGTGTGGGTAACCACATAGCCAAGGGGCGGATACTGTCTCTGCATAGCCTGGCCTCTGGGGCATCATTAGATGAACGTACTTTCTCCTGGAGCTGGGCAGAGCCTTGAGTCCTTCCCAACTTGGAAGCCCAGGCCAACACTGCTAATCCAGAGGAATCTAAAATTGGAAAGCAGACTCACCATCTTTGAACATCCATGAGAATTGTATGGAGCTCTTCATCAGGACAGGAAGAGGACAGAAGCAGATACTCAGCAGGATCTGTCTGGACTTGAGGGAGGAAATAGGAAGGGGACAGAGCTGCCATGTCCCCATGCTCCAACCTGGGCCAGGCCTAGTGTTATGGGGCTGGGGGGGAATAGTTCACTTCCTCTTCCCAGGATTCGTTTTCAAGTTTTAGAGGTGAGAGGAGTGAGCTCAGAGAGGTGCCCTGACTGGTCCAAGGAGGCTAGTGACAAGCCGCAGGAGGAACCCACACCCATCTGACCCTAAAGCTTGTGCCCTTCCTGTTCCTTCACTGCCTTTCAAAAGCAAGAACCCTACCAGGAAGCGGGAAGTGCCTAACTGTGTGTGGGGCACTGTGTCTGTACATTACTAATGTGTTTTGTTCATTTTAAGGTGCTGGGGATCAAACCCCGGGCCTTGAGCATGCTAGGCAAGCGCTCTACCACTGAGCTACATGCCCAGCCCTGTGTCAGACATTCGCTGTATTCATCTCACAACAGCCACCATTAGGAAGGGTCCAGGCTCCCTTTGACACATGAGGAAACTGAGGCACCAGGGGTGTATTTTGCTCAGTCACTCAGCTGGATGTAGTGTGGCAGGGATAACTGTATTAAGGAGTCAAAAGCCCATCTTCTAGACCTCTGTGATTTTTCTCTTCTCTTTGATACCTTTTAAAACACCTATGAAGCTGGGCATGGTGGCACATGCCTGTAATCCCAGCACTCAGGAAGCTGAGGCAGGAAAATTTCTTTGAGTTCAAGGCCAGCCTGGGCTGTGTATTGAGTTTAGGACCAGCCTGCACTACATAGCAAGACCCTATCTAAAAAACAAAACAAAACAAAACAAAAAACCTATCACCTGTGAGGATTGCAAAATGGCGATATTCTAATTGCATTAATTTTCTCATTTGTTAGTTGGAATTATTTTATAAAAAACATACATCCACTCATCTACTATTTGATATCCAGGGGGCTCAAATAGGCAAGACAGGCTACATGGTTGACTTTCTTCCATTGATTTATGAGTTTTCAAGATAAATGAATTGGTTCCCTATCCTCTCCCAAAAGTGACTAAATAGTATTATTATCATTAGTATTATGAATTCAAATATTCAAGTATATCTCATGGTGTCAGCCCACTGCAACTTGTTCTACATGTTGAAGCCTCAGTTTCCCTATCTTTGGCCAGCAGGTCTCTTCAAGGTGGCTTCTGCGTCCTTTTAACTTAACTCTATGGTCTTTGACATCTTTCGTGTTGCTTATTGCAAGATGTCCCAGGCTCACTTTGTACGTTCCTGACCTGAAGTCTGCAGTGAGGCCCTTCTCTGTTTAGTAAGAGGAGGTTTAAAGATGGAAGTCTTTGTGTCGGCTGTGTCACCTACATAGCTGGGGCTTTGAGGTCTTTGCACTGAACTGGGATCTGTGCATATCACATAAACATACATATGCATGATTTTTAAGGTAGCATATCTGAGTTCATACTGACCTTCTACGTTGTATCTGTATTTTCTTTCATCCACACTAAAATCCTGGTTCTCAAGAACTTGGGAGACTATAGAATTTGAATGACCTATAATTACTCATCATTTTCTTTAATTGAAAATATGCATAGTAGCCTCTTAGAGATTATTGGCTCTTTTTGCCCAAATGTTTGTTCCTTCTTCTTTAAAATTCAGTAATTTTACTGGATTATGTGTTGATGTGGGTTATCCTGAGTTGATATTTTTATTCAATTCTCCCCCCATCCCTACCCTCTTTTTCTTTTGTGGTACTGGGGATTCAACCTAGGGCCTTTGCATTCAGCTACATCCCAGCCCTTCTTTAATTTTTAAATTTTAACACAGGGGCTCTCTTAGTTCTCCAGGGCTCAATCTTGCAATCCTCCTGCCTCAGCCTCCCACCGTGCTGGGATTCCAGACATGCACCTCCACACCTGGCTCAATATTCTCTCTTAATATATACTTCCAGTCTTTTTTCTTTTACTTGGGGAAAGTTTTTCTTAAATTATAGTTTTTAATATTTGTTTTGTTCTCTTGATTTTCTTCTTCAGGTACTCCTATTATCTGTATGTTGGATCTTCTTTTTTCTGTCTTCAGTATTTGTCTGTTTCTCTCACATTCCATTTATTTATTTATTTTATTTATTTGTGCTGTTCTCTAAATGGAATAAATTTCACTCGATTTTTCAAAGTTCTGTGTGCCTCTGTGTTCCAGGTTATTCAACATCTCATTTATATTGTTTACCTTGATTACCTTGATTACATTTACTTACAGTTAAAATCTAGTCTGTCTCTAAATGACATGTGTATTACAGAATTCCCCTTTTTATATATTCTTGTTAGATTCCATTTTTCTGTTTAAACCAATAATGTTAAATGCCCTATTTTAAGTATCACTCGACAAGCGCTCAACAAGTGCCCCATGTGACTGCCACCACAGTCAAGGTAAGGGGTATAAAACATCTCCATGATGTCCAAAAGTACCTGTGTGCCTCTGCACTCAGCCTCACCCCAGCCCCAGGTGTAGACACATGTAGACCTGCTTTCTGACCCCGTGGATTAACTTTGTATGTCCCTAAATGTCAAACCAATACATTTGTATAGTATGTGGCCTTTTGAGCCTAGCTCTGTTCAACTGGCACATGGTTCTGAAATTTGTTTATACTGTTCCATGCATTCATTCATTCCTCTTTTTTTTTGGTACCTGGAATCAAACTCAGGACCTTGTGCTTGAGAGGCAGGCGGTGGCACCACTGAGCTAAATCCCTGGGCCTGTTCATTCCTTTTTATTTCTCCTTCCTTCCTTCCTTCCTTCCTTCCTTCCTTTCTTTCTTTCTTTCTCTCTTTCTTTTTTTTTTTTTTTTTTTTTTTGGTACAGGGCACAGGGGGTGGAATCGAACTCAGAACCTTGCACTTACAAGGCAGACGTGGTGCCACAGAGCTAAATCCCCAGCCCTTCCTTTTTATTTCTGAGTAGTATTCCATTGTATGATTATACTATTTTTTATCATTTCCCCCTCAATGAATGTATGGGTTGTTCCCAGTATATTAGTTTGCTAGGGCAGCCATATGTTCCACCCTGTAGATTACCAAAATTCATGTTCTTATATGAAAAATACATCTGCCCCATCCTGACAGCCCTGGAAGTATTAATTCATCCCAGCTTCTATTCTAAGCCCAAAGTCTCATCTGAATATTATGTACATTGAATATGGGTGTGAAGAGATATGAGTCATCCTGAGGCACAATTCCTCTCTACCAGTGAATCCATGAAACCAGATAAGTCAGCTGCTTCTAAAATGAAATAGTGGAGCAGGCATCAGATATCCATTCCTACTCCAAAAGGGAAGAGAAAAGAGTGGAAAGTGCCAGACAAGTGTAAAAGCTGGCAAAGCAAATTCTCTTAGCTTTTAAGGCTCAAGACATTTGCATCTTTAGCTCAGTGCTCTTCCCTCTGGGCCACTTAGGTGGCAGCCCGTTCTTCTGGAGCCAACAGGCTGGCACCACCCCCTCCTTTTCCCTTCATGGTACCCTTTGCCCTGCAGGGCAGCCTTGGCCCTGAGACACTGGGGAGCAGCCCCCTGGCCTGCAAGAAACAAGGAGGGGACACTTTGCCCCCCAGTCTTTGAGTGGCAGTGATAACCTTGCTGAGCCTGGGTCACCTGCAGGGTCTCTCTCCCCTTTTCTTGTAGGAGAGGCAGGTCCACGGCCACATGGCTCTGTCATCCCCTCTGACAGTCTTGCTTTCTTTTCTCTGTGTCTGGTACTCCTGAGTTGGCTGATTAAATCTGCAAGCCACATCTGAGATCTCTGTATCACATGATTCCCACCCATGCCCTTGGTGTTCTCTCCAGAACATGTTTGCTTATCGTTCATAATCTGAGAAGACTGAGAATTTTCCATGGCTTCCAATTCTGATTCATTTTTCTTTCAATGTATCTCTTCTTTTGCATTTTGCTAGAGAATCCAGGCCATATTTTTAACACTTTGCCTAGAAATCTCTTCAGCTAGATATCCATGTTCATGTCTGTTAACATCTGCTCTTTTTTTTTTTAGACAGGTCTCACTATGTAGCCCAGGCTGGTCTCAAACTTGCAGCAATCCTCCTGCCTCAGCCTCCTGAGTGCTGGGGTTACAGGCGTGCACTGCCAGCACCTCACTTCTGGTACCAAAATTGGCACTAGCTTGCTAGAATTGTCATGATAAAACACCAAGGACTGGCTGACTTAATAGAAATTTAGTTTCTTACAGTTTTTTTGGTTTTGTTTTTGGGGGGCTTTTAGGGGGTTGGGAGTTTGAAATCAGGTCTCTCTATGTAGTTCAGACTGACCTTGAACTCACTATAAAGCCCAAAATGGCCTCAAACTCACAGCAGCCCTCCTGCCTCAGCCTCCCAAGAGTTTCTTATAGTTCTGAAGGTTAGATGTCCAAAATCTAAGTATTGCCAGGTTCAGTTACTCCTGAGGTCCCTCTTCTTGGCTTGCAGATGGAGATATTTTTGTTTTTGTTTTCTTCACACTGAGCTACATTCCAACCCCCTCCCCCCTTTTTTTTACTTTGAGACTCAGTCTTGCTATGTCACTAAGTTGCTCAGGTGAGGCTTGAACTTGCAATCCTCCTGCCTCAGCCTCCCAGAGTGCTATGATTACAGGGATGCAGCACCACGGCCAGCTAGATGGCCATCTTCTTGGTGTGTCCTTGCCTGGCCCTTTCACCATGTTGATACATTCCTGCTGGTTCTTCTTTTCTTCTTACAAGGACACCTAATGGACTAGGGCCTGGCTCTTAGGACTCCACTTAACCTTAATTACCTCTTAAAGGCCCTCACTACAAATACAGTCACACTAAGAGTTAGAATTTCAACATACGAATCAGGAGATCTCAATTCGGGCCATTGTGAATTGGGCCAGTATGAATACTTATACATAGGTCTCTGTATGGCTGTATCTTTCATTTCTCTTGGATAAAGAGCCAGAAGTAGATTCTTGTAATGTGCAGCATCACAAGAAATAGCCAGGCTGTTTTCCAAAGTGACTCCTGTTTATCTATCATCGTTCATTCCCACCAACGGTATAGAAGTCCAGTTATTCCACAAGCTTACCGACACTAGTGTGCCAGTCCTTCTGGTTTTAACCATGGATGGGTGCGTAGTAGTATTTCTTTTTGCCTCTTTCAATAAGTGTACCTCAAAATTCTTCCAGCCTCTATCCATTACCTGGTTCCCCAGCAGTTCCCTCATGGTTAATGGTGCTTAACATCTTTTCATGTACTAACTGCACATTCCTGTGTCTTCTGTGGAGTGATTATTCAAGTATGCTGCTGATTTTTATCAAGTAGTGTGTGTGTGTTTGTGTGCGTGTGTGTGTGTTTGCAGTACTGAGGATTGAACCCAGGGCCCTCACACTGAGCTACATCCCCAGCCTTTTAAATTTTTTTTACCTTGAGACAGGGTCTTGCTGTGCTAAACTGCCCAGGCTGGACTCAGATTTGCAATCCTGCTGCCTCAGCCTCCCAGAATGCTGAAATGACAGGTGTGCGCCACGACACCCAGCTAGGTAGTTTTTTCCTCTTCCTACTGAGTCATAAGAGTGCTTTATGTATTTCAAATGCAAGTGTTAAGTGCGCTCTCTCTCTCTCTCTATATATATATATGACACACATGCGCGCACACACACACACACACACACACAATGGAGGACACAGCAAAGTGGCCATCTCCAAGCCCAGGAATGAGCCAGGCCTCAGAAGCAACCAAACCTGCCAGTGCCTTGATCTCAGATTTCCAGACTCACAAGTTTCTGTCACTGAAGCCGCCTAGTCTGTTGTGTTGTGGCAGCCCTGGAAGACTGACACATTGGTGTCCCGGGGACATTTGCCTGACCCAAGGTCATATTTCCTTCTATGCATTCTTTTAAAAGTTTTATCATTTTAGCTTTTGTTTCCCTCTTTTTTTTTTTTTTGAGACAGGGTCTCGCTATGTAGTTCAGACTGGCCTCGAACTTGCAGCAATCCTCCTACCTCAATCTCTGAGTGCTGGGATGACAATCATGCCCACATTAGCATCTGGAGTACAAAGGAATATTTCTTCATATTGATCCCAAGTTTAATTTCTATAGCAGCCATGTTCCTAAAGGTTTTCCCCATCACATCTCTGTAGAGCTTCTTTTGGGATGGATTGAGCAAAGCCCACTACTCCATGGTGAAGTTCACAGCCACGTCCTCAAAGGTCACTACCTCCTGTAATTACAGCACTTGGGAGGCCCATGCAGGAGGATCACCATGGAGTTTAAGGCCAGCCGTGGCTACACAGTAAATTCAAGGCAAGTCATTGCATGGCTTCAGTTTCTCCCAGAGTTCTTCCCATGCAGCCTGCAGTCAGTAGAAATCACAGAAGGCAGTCTAGTGAGCTGGGGGACTCTCAACAGTGTCTCTCAATTGTAGATACTTACGAGTCTCATCGTAATTTTTTTCTTTGATCCTGAGTTATTTTTAAATACACTTTTAAAATTTCAAACTTCCTCTAGTTCTTTTTTTTTTTATTGATTTTTAACTGGATTACCTGCAGTCAGAGGAAATTCTCATTCTTTGAAATTTCTTGAGAATTGCTATACTTTTATTGGTAATTATTAATATTTTGTTAATAATTCATATGTGGTTCTTCAGTTAGTTCTATGTATGTATGCTCCACTAAACTTGAAATTGGGTTGTTCTTTTTTATATATACTTACTGATTTTTTTTTTCTTCCAATTGTCACTTTAGAAAGTGTGAGGGCCAGGGATGTAGCTCAGAGGCTCAGTGTCTGCCTGACAAGTGCAAGCCCCTGGGTTCAATTCCCGGTACCAGAAAAGAAAAGTGGGAAAAAAAAGAAACCAAAAAAAAGCCCCTAAAAGAATCAAACTGGGGACGTGCCTGCCTGACAAGTGCCAGGTCCTGAGTTCAATCCCCGGTACCAGAAAAACAGAAAATGTGAGATGTTCAATAGGCGTGTATAGTTAGAATTTTTGTCTTCTTGGTGAATAGAATTGTTTATACTTATATAGTGACTCTATTTAAGTATTGTATTAGACTGTGAAGTCTATATTTTGTCTCATATAAATAACTACACCAGTTCCTCTTTTGTTAATGTTTACATAGCATAACTCTCTACAAGAAACAAAGCAGGAGTTGATTCTTCCCAAGCACCTGTCCTCTGTATCAACCCCTCCTCGGTCTTCTCCATTCACCCACCACTCAGTCCCCAAACTCAGGAGTACCCTTTAGTCTCCTTTTCTTCTCAATCCACAATCGACCCACAGCGAGTTCTGTCAGCTTTACCTCCAACGTATAGTCTGAATCCAGCCTCTCTCACGCCCCACTACCTTCTCCCTTGAATCCCTGCTGCAGCCTTCACCTGGTTTACCACCGAGATCCTTTAAAAATCTAGGTTAGAACACTTCCATCCCTGTCTGCATCTGCTCTAACAAAATACCTTAGACTGGGAGATTTAGAAATAATAGCAGTTTACTTCTCACAGTTTTGGAGACTGGGAAGTCCAAGACTGAGGTGCTAGCATCTGTTGAGAGCCACTCCCTGCTTCCAAGATGGTGCCTTCTTGCTGTGTCTTCACGTGGAGAAGGGCCAAAGCTGTGTCCTCATGTAGCAGAAGAGAGGGAAGAGCTAGGCAGGTCTCGGAAGCCTCTTTTATAAGGATGTCAGTCACATTCATGAGGGCAGAGTCCACATAATTTAATTATTTCCCAGAAGGCCTCTCTCTTAATACCACCACCTTGGAGTTTAAGTTCCAACATATGAATTCTGGAGGCACACATACATCCAACCATAGCAGCCCCCCTATTCAAACTTTCCAGTGGCTTCTGTTCACACTCAAAATAAATACAAACTCTTTACTCACATTTTCCAGGCCCCTCCTGACCTGCCCACCATCCACACCCCTCCCTCCCTTGCCCTCAGGGCTCCTGCCATCCTGGCCTTTTGTTTTTCTGGACAAGTCAAGGTCCTCCCATCACAGGACTTTTGTTCTTGTTTTTCCTCTCCACACATCATCACCTGGCTCCCTCCTTCTCCTCTGTGAAATCTCAGCTTTATACAGTCTTCCTGGCTTTGGCTGAGATGTCTTTGAAAGCAGTCACTCTGACATAACCCTCTTATCACTGTACTTACCAGCCCCTGATATCTCATTGGCATGACTCTTGTCTTTTGTCCCCCTCCCATCTGAGGGCAGGGCCTCATCTGTGGTACATACCTGTTCCCCAGTTCCTGGAACAATGCCCAGTGGGTAAGTCTCCCCTTTGACCCTAGTGTCAAGAGAATGGAGTCATGCACCTGCATGCCCCCCTCTGACATCTACACAGCACGCAGCATGGTGCCTGGCACGCAGCCAGTGGCCCTTACATGGCTGAATATGGAAAATGTTCATGAGTACTAGCAAGAGCAGCCACCACAACAGCCTGTGAGGAAGGCATTGTGGATGAGGAGACTGAGGCTTAGAGGCAGTGATTTGCCTACAGTCTTGTAACTAGTGAGAAGCAGAGCCAGGATTCCCTGGCTCCCAAATCAGACTGTACTTATTCTGTCCCAGCCAAAGCTCCCTGGCTCACTGGCTGGACGGATGAGGGGTCACATGTTTGCTAAGTTTCCCTATCAGAGAGGCTGAGTCTGTGGCCCATACTCTTCTCTCTCCCCATGCAGCTTTTCCACCCTGACACGATGGCAAAGAGTGGGAAACTGTTCAGGAACCTCGGCACTGGTGTGTCCCCTGATGTGCCTGAAGAAACAGGACCTGTACATCAAGTTCAAGGGACGCGTGCAGGTGGCCTCTGCCAGTGCCAGGTCCCCCTGGGCTGAGTCCCAGTACCTGGATTACCTTTTTGAAGGTAGGTATGGGGAAGGGACCAAGAAGGGGGCTCTCACGTGGGAGCTATATTTAGTGGTGTCTGTGCTAGTCAGCACAGTCAGGGGTCCCCGGGGAGACAGAACCTATAGAATCTAAGCATCCATAAGAGGACTGATTCAACAGATTCTGTTGAGGCTGAGTAGGCCCACAATAGCCATCAGCAGACCAGAGAGCTGGGAAACCAGCAGTTGCTCTGTCCAAGAAACCAGAAGCCTCCAAATGAGAAAAACTCAAGGCTGAAGGGCCAAAGCCCGATGAAGGCCGCTGCAAGTCCATGTTCAAAGGCTGAAGAACCTGGAGCCTGATGCCCAAGAGCAACAGGAGCAGAACGTGCACCTGCTCAGGAAGTGAGAGTGAGAGCAAGAGCCAGATTCCTCTTCTTCCACTTTCTAGCTCTATCAGGGGCCCAGTGGGGTCGGCCACACTCAGGGCAGGTTTTCCCCACTCAGCTCATTGACTCAGACGCCGAGCTACTCCGGAAACACCTCACAGATGCACCCTGAAGTGTGCTCGCCACCTCTCTGGGCAGCTTTCAATGTGAGGTTGACACTCAAAATTAGCCCTCACACCATCTGTCTCCATCTTCCGGAAAGCAGGGGCTCCTCTCTGGGGTAGCTCACTTGGGGCGAGCCCAGGTGACAGGGGCAAGGGAACAGCCTCAAGCTGGGGCTCTATCTATAGCCTGACTTTGTGTAGAAAGTTAGGGGCTTCCAGTTAATGCCAGAAATTCAACTTTACCTCTTCCTTGCAGGCTCCGTTATTTTTGTGTGTGTGTGGTACCAGGGATTGAACTCAGGACCTTGCGCTTGCAAGGCAGGTGCGGTGCCACTGAGCTAAATCCCTGGCCCCAGGGTCCATTATTGCCTGGCCTGCACTACCTTGGCCATGAACAGCCCAAGGCACTTAATAGTTATTCCTATTTTTGTCATGTTCAACTTTTCTCTTTAGGAGATTATTTTAAAATTTTTATCTAGGCATGGTGGCACACACCTGTAATCCTAACACTCAGGAGTCTGAGGCCAGAAAATCAGCACAAGTTTGAGGCCAACCTGAACTACATAGTGAAACCCTGTGTCAGACCCTAAAAAAAAGAAAAAAGAAATTTTTTTAAAAAAATCTGATTCCAAAAAAAAAAAATCTGATTGCAAAAGTATTTTCTGTACACCATAGAAATTTGGGGAGGAAAGAAGATAAAATCCAGGAGGAAAAAAAAATAAAACATGCTTTCCATCAGCAGTCACAAGTACCCACACTGGGTGAAGAGGGTACATTTTAAAAATATATTCTCATTCTCACAGAAAATGTGTGATGTTTATTTTCATCAGATCACTTTTGAAACATAAAGTAAGTCTTGTGGAAGCTGAATAACTTTCCAGAATACACTGCTAGCAACTGATGGATGTTGAATGTGAATCTGGGTCTTTCCGACCTTGGGCTAGGACAGTGATGAAGGGTGGTCACAAAGGGAGCCTTTACATAGCCTCCCAAGGCTCAGCTCCCACTTGCTTCCCATTTTTCTCAAAATGTCTGAGGGCAAAATTGGAGTGGGGGTGGAGATCAGCAGGAAAGGGTAGCAAAGAAGAGAGGATGGTGAGTGGGAAGAATGTGCGTGGATGGACAAAAGAAAAAAGACTGTGTCTTAGTTCTTGCTGAGACAAAATACCTGACACCCAAAGTTAAAGGAAGAAGCTCACAGTTTGTAGAGGTTTCAGTCAATGGTCGACTGACTGCAAGGCTGGGCAGCATGGCAGAGGGGTGTCACAGGGGAAAAACAGTCCATGGCAGAGCAGGTAGGAGGCGGCAGCAGCAAATCAACCCTTCCTTTCCCTTTTATCCCCTACAGGCTACAACCCTTTTGGTTGGTGCCACCCCATACCCAGTGTAAGCCTTCCCATAATCCATACCTAGAACTATGGTAAACCAATTAGTGGACTAAGCCAGTACCACACCCCCTTAATCCGAGTATCACATACCCTAGATCCAGCCACCTCTGAAAAGCCCCACCTATGACTGCATGAGGCTTTGAGGGGACATCTAGATACAAGTCATAACAGACTGGATGGATAAGAAGGAAGGAGGTATGGAGAGGATGGAGTAGGAATTGATAGAAAAATATAAAGGAAGGAGACTGGAAGGAAGGCCAGATGATTATTAAGAAACAAGTGGAAATGGAAGAGATGGTGGAAGGTGTTTTAGTCCAAGTTTTCCAGAGAAACCAAACCAGCAGATATCTATAAATACAATAAGAGGAGATTTATTATAGACATGGATCCCCTTGACACCCTCAGGAAACCCATAAAGTTCTTAAGAACTTTATACCCACAGAAACACTACTAGCTTGGACTCTCTGGGACAAACAGTGCAAATCTAAGGCTGCTGGGCTTTGCCTTTTCTGCTAGCAAGATGCAGCTGATAACTACTTTCCTGCAGATATTTCTGCCTTTAAGGAAAAAAAGTTTGATTCGAAGGGCAGCTTTAGGAGCCAAGAATTATTCCCAGGCTTTGAAACCTAATGGAGTTTATGTGACTGGATTTGGAAACATTTGGAGCAATGAGTTCCTTTTACCTCCCCTTTTCCCATGTTTGAACCACGATGTCTATTGCTGTCATCCTGTGCCTGTCCCACCTTTTTATGTTGGGAACAGATAGCTTGTCCTTTAGCTTCTCTGTGCCATAGATGGAGAGGATTGTGCCCCGGGAGTCCTGCTGACTGGGTTATACCCAGCATCTCATCTGAATCTGATTTGGCTACTGATGATGAGAGTTTGAAAATCGAGTTGATGCTGTTGTGGGATAAGATCTTGGGGGATCTCAGCTGAATGGATTTTGCATTGAAAGAGACATGAATTGAGGGGGCCAGAGGAAAGATCATGGAGAGCACAAGATCCTCCACAGATTCTGCTCTGACCCCCAGACCCGCCAGTGTGTTGGATGTCAGTGTTGTTTGGCAAAAAGAATTTTAATCAAGGTTCTGGGTTTTAAAGTAGTGAGCATATCCAGGATTCTCCAGACAGGCTCAATCTAATCCCAGTGCTTTAAGAGCAGAGAGCTTCCTGCAGCTGGAGATAGAAGTGCTGGGGCACAAAAGGAGTTGGGGAGATGTTGAAGTAGGAAGAGGGGAGACCCAGAGCGGAGCCCCACTGGCCTTCTGACTGGAGACCATACGGTAGATCATTGGTGCTGTCGCAGGCCCTGCGTTTGCAGTCCTGTGTTACAGCAGCAACAGGAATATCAGCTCTGTAACCTCAGTTTCCCCTTCTCTCAAGTGGGAATTATGATACCTCCCTCCAGGGTCGGTAGCTGTAAGGCGCTGGGCGCACAGGAAGAGTTTGACAAATGTAGCGAGGCTTTTCCCTTTCTGAGGAAGCTCCCTGGGCTGGGGGGTAGTGGGGGGTGGAGGCAGATGACCCCAGGGTGCTGATGGGTCCTGTTCACTTTCTACCAGTGGAGCTGGGCCCGCCCATCCTGGTGGTCACTCTGAGGGAGAAGATCCTGAGTATCAATGCCACCTACCAGCTGCCGCCTTGCACACCCACCCTGGATCTGCAGTATGAGGTGCAATTCTGGAAGGAGGGCATTGGAAACAAGGTGGGAAGCCCCATCCCCACCACTCTGCCAAGCTCCCGTGCTCCTCACCCTCCCTCTGCTCCCTGCACGTCTCCTCCCAGAAGCCTTCCCCACCTGGCCCTGATGCATAGTGTGCAAAGGGCCTTCATCGCAATTGCACTGACTGCAGTTTTCTGCCTCATTTTTGAGATTATTAAGAGCCCTTTCTTTTTTTTTTTTCAATAAAATCTGTTGAAGTATGAGGGGCCATAGGAGGCCGACTTGCCAAGTTTTAGATTCATTACAAAAAATTTAGAAAACAAGTAAATTCTAAGAAGGAAAGCAAAAGAGCCTGAGAAGATGACCACACCTAATTTTGGTGTGGATCCAATTTCAGCCCCATTTTCCGTGTGTGCCTCTGTCTATGCCTGTGTTTATTTATTCACGGCTAAGGTTGGCAGACTTCCACACAGGGCCAGAGAGTAGATATTTTTGGCTTTGTGGCCCATGGGCTCAGTCTCAGCCAAACTCCACAGCTGTAACACAAAGCAGCCACAGAAGATATGAAGATAAATAGTCACCGAGGGGTTCCCGTTTACCAAAGCCTGCGGCAGGCCAGATTTGGCCCATGGCTGTGGTCTACTGAGCCCTGCTCTTGTTTGTTTTTCTTTCACAGAACCAACACTCACACTTCTGATCCCAGGGAATGCAGACCTGAGTCCAGGGTAGCTCTGCCTTCCAGCACCTCACAAGTGTTAGGAAGCAGCACATGGTACCCCAGATATGCACAGTGTCTATAAGTCAATTAAAAACAATTTACAAAAAGTACCGCACAAATCTTCTAGACCAGAACTGTCCAATGGAAATATAATGTGAGGGCCGGGGATTTAGCTCAGTGGTTCTGGCTCCTGCCGCACAAGCACAAGGTCCTAAGTTCGATCCCTGGTACCAGAAATATAATGTGAGCCACTTGTGTCTCATTAAATTACATAAAAGGAAGCAAGTGACTTTAATTTTAATAACAGATTTTATTTCATCCAATAAAATGTTGTCATTTTTGACAGGGCTTTTGCACTGAGCTACATTCCCAGCCCTACCCCCTTTACATTTTTTTTTATTTCAAGACAGGGTGTCTGTAAGTCACTAAGTTGCTCAGGCTGGGTTTTATCTTGTGATCCTCCTGCTTCAGCCCCCACAGTACTGAGATGACAGGCATGTGCCACCATGCCCGGCTTGGACCAGCTACACTGGAAGGGCTCGGTGACTGCCTGTGCCCACTGCCTACAGTTTTCTGAAGCTGAGTGACCCCCACCTCCAAGGGACTTGAAGGCCTGAGTTCGGGAAGCCTGAGGAATCTTCTTCTCCAAGTGGGGACCCGTAGTCCCTGTTTCAGAGCACACAGGAGTGACCCCAAGTGGTGGGCTGCTTTCCAACCCTAGCCATTAGCCTAAAAGGAACCAGCTAGTGTTGGGAACTGGGCCCTCAACACTTGAACTCTAAGGAAAGAAAAAGAGGTTCAGGGGCCCCTCCTGGCTGCTGACCGTGTACTGGCACCTGGCTGTACAGAGCAGGGACCCGAGAAGCTCTGCTCATCTCTGCTTCTTTCCACCAAACAGACCCTATTTCCAGCCACTGCCCATGGCCAGCCCATCCAGATCCTGCTCCAGCCTTTGGCCCGCGGATGCCACTGCCTCAGCGCCAGAACCATCTACACCCTCATCTCCCCCAAGTACAGCAGCTTCTCAGAGCCCCACTGCCTCTCTCTGGGGGCCCCAGGTGGGTGCAAAGTGGCTCCTCGGGGGAGCGGTGTGCTGTGCGGTTAGAAGTATGAGACAGACTTCTAGATAAAAACCCCAGGTCCACCACGATCGCCATGTGTCTGGGCAGCCTCAGTTTGCAGTCTGTAGGATGGGCTTGTTCTTATGAGGACCAGCCAGGACGGGACCCGAGGGCACTCCTCGTGCTGCTAGACAGGTGCCCTTGTTGTATCTGTAGTCAGTGTTGTTTTCCTCCCTAGGGGCCAACTGGACAGACCTGGTACTGTGCTCACTCCCGCTACTGTTCTTGGTAGTTGTCATAGCGGGTGTGATGTGGAAGAACCTGAAGGGCGACCCCTGGTTCCATGGGGTGAAGACACCGAGGGCCCTGGTACGGCAAGCCTGGGCATGTTCAGGGCCGGGTGGGCTGGGGTTTAGACGAATATCAGTATGGCCCAGTCTGAATGCCTCCTATCTTCCTGTCTGAGTTTCTATCATTAGTAATCCACCAAATGAAACGGCAAAGCTGTCTGGGAGGGAGAAGCACCTCCAGTCCCTGTTAGTTAACTCTCATCACCCCTGCTGAAGGTGTGTCAGGTGCCTGGAGCACAGCCCCAGCCTTGGGACCTAGGAGAGGTGGCCAGAGGGCAGGGGGAGAGGGCAGCATGGTAAGGGGAAGTTTTAGGAAGATCTACCACTCAGTTCACCATCTTCACCAAGGATGAGCCTGACATGGGCCAATCTTGGGGGCTGCTTCACCCGCTCTGAAACTGAGGGCCTCTGGGGCCAGGAGGACCCCTTGAGGACAGAGTGTCATGCATGCTCAGATGGGGAGCCAGGAGGGGCTCAGATAGGAGTGGGGGCTTTGAGGACAGATTCCACGCACAGGGCAGGGAAATGGCACCATCCCTCAGAGGGGGCTGGTGGCTAAGTACGCCAGGTGCCCCCCAGCAGATAGCCCCGAGGAGCCCTCAGGGTGCAGGATCAGGGTCCAGCTGCCCTTGTGGCAATGTGGTCGGTACCACACCCTGCCATGTGGGTTGCCCACGCCCTGACTCATGTTTCCTGGGACAACCCCCCAAAGAAATTATGTACACTTGAACTTGTATCTCAGGTCTGTTCTAATGGGACCCCAGATTCCAACAGCCATGAAGCCTGAGTTGTCTCTCTTCTGTCTCCTCCCCAAATCAGGACTTTTCGGGATACAGACACCCGCTGGCAGCCTTTCAGCGGGGTGGACCAGAGTCCTTGGATGAGTTATTCCTCTGTCCCCAAAAGAAGCTGACTGGTAGGGTCAGGCTGGCCCCTCCAGTCAGGGCCCCGGCCACCCTGCAGTCGGGATCAGAGGATAGCGCTGCAGATGAGGAGGATGAGGACACAGATGACAGGGTCAGCATCCAGCCCTACATGGAGCAGCCCTCCTTCCTGGGGCAGGAGCTCCAGCCTCTGGGGCTGTCTGAGGCAGATGAGTCTGGGGTGGACTCAGGGGGCCCCTGGACACCTGTGGGCCAGAGAGAAGGCTCCTCAGCCTGGGATTCTTCAGACAGGAGCTGGCCCAGCACCAGGGACTCCTTGCTCTGGGATGAGGCTGAGTCCTCCTGCTACTTGGCCAAGAAGGGGCTGGGCCAAGGGGCAGGTGGCAACGATCATCAGGAGCCACTCCCGTGCCCAGAATGCTCCAAGGACTTGGGCACCCTGAAAGGGCCCCTGAAGGATGGCCGCTCCTCATGGGCCAGCTGGGGATCCTCATCCCCGGGATGGAGTCTGGTCTCGGGGGAGCCCCTAGTTTCTCTTCAGACACTGACCTTCTGCTGGTACAGCAGACCTGAGGAGGAAGAGGAGGAGGAAGAGGAAGCTGAGAAGGAATCTGGATCTAAGGACAGCAGCAGCTGCAGCTGGCAGGCTGGGAGCTCCCTGAGGACTGAGGTCAGGGATGGGATGCTGGGACCTTACATGGCCAGGTGAGCTGGGTCCAGCTGTCCCTGGGGACCCAGAACACCGCCCAGGCTCGACAGCCATACAGCCATGTTTCCCACTGAGGCTGCTGAAGGTTCCTTTGGCACTTCGGGATTGCCTAGACAACATGAAGCAGGTGAGGCCAGGTCACTGTGGCCACTGCAGGCTGACACAAGGGGCCATCTGGAACTAGGGAGGGCTGGCCCCACTAGAGGCACATCTGGGTGTATTGCTGCCTTTCCCAGCACCTGCCAAGCTCCTGCTCTCCCAAGCCTCAGCCTCCTGACTGAGCGATTGTGTCCCTTAGAGTGACTCCCCATAAGGAAAGATCCAGCTGGCTGAGGGAGTTGTGGGGGAGGGAAAGGGAAGCATCCTTTATAATCTGGTCTTTGGAGTCTTAGCATTGCTGGGGTTTTTTTGTTGTTTTTTTTGTTTGTTTATTTGTTTGTTTAGCATTGCTGTTTTTAATACCAGACAGAACTGGATTCAAATCCCAGCTCTGCCGTTTGCCAGCTGTGCAGCTTGATTAAGCCGCTCTCATTCTCTGTACCTCAGTTTCCTCATCTGCAGCTACTACCCAGGTGTGGTAGGATGCAGGGAGATCTCAGGTGCGTATGGTGCAGGGGCTGCCATGGCACTGATGCTGTCCACATGTGGCTGGCAAGAGCCTCCATCTCCCAGGCTGCAAGGAGACCCTGGGCCTCCCCCACCTGTGACCCTGACCCTAGAGTGCCCCCAGCTCCTAGACAAGGTGCTAAGTTCTCAGAAGCCAGAGCTTCAACCAAGGGCATCCCAGGCCCTCCTGCTCTTCCCTTGTCTCATCTGTACCCCTTCTTCTCTCTGTGGCCCAGGCCCTGCCACTTAGCCCTTAATGACTTCACTCTGAGGTGCACAAAAGACCTTCACATCCACTTGACCAGAGGGCTATGTTGTTCTGAAGCCAGCATGAGGTACAGGGCCACAGGCACATCTGGGAAGGTTTCTCCATGGCCTCCACTCCAGAGGCTCTCACACCCTGTCCCCAAAGGCCTTGGGTCTTGGCCGTGGGGTGAGGGGCTCAGAAACCTGGTCATCTAGCCGGAGCAGCATCACTGTGCCTGGTCTATGCACAGTGGCTTTGCAGGTGAGGTCTGTCAGGGGGTCCCGCTGCCAAAGAAAAGTTTGTACACCGCTTTTTTTTTGTTTTGTTTTGGGGTTTTTTGGTACCGGGGATTGAACTCGGGTCCTTGCGCTTGCACAGCAGGCGGCGAAACCACTGAGCTAAATCCCCGGCCCTGTACACCACTTTTTTAATGAATACCTATCTTGTTTCAGACAAACAGGCCAAGGTCAGAGAGGCAAAAGCACCTGCCCAGGTCACTGGGCAACATGTGTCCCCAAGGCTGAGTGCTTGGATCTCTCTGCCCAGCTGAGGTAACCTTTGACCCCTTCTTGGCCATGTCAACAAACTACGTAGGTCTCAGCCAGGATTTCCAAGGGTCACTAAGCTGGCAGGAGGCCTTTATTGCCACTGCTGGGGCACACGCTCACTCATGCACGTAGACGCGCGTGCACACACGCACACACACACACACACACACACGCACGCACGCACATGCGCGCACGCGTACATCTTCCCAGGGCTCTTTTCTGTGCTCCTTTTGTCCACATTGTTAAGCTCAAAGGAAGAAGAGCAAACCGAAGCGATGGTGCTTGGGAAGGGCTATGGCTCAGGCTGGGTCCCAGAAATGCCCAGACCAGACCAAGGCTGCCATCCCTTCTGGGACTGGCTGAGCTGCTTTGAAGAACTTTCAAAAAATGAAAAGTTTTTGTCGCTACAGTATTGTCTTAGGCTTGAATGAAATACTTTATTTCTACTCTCCAACTTTGTTAGTTTTTAAAAGAAATTTTTTTCCCAAAGTTTCAAGTCTGAAAAAGCCTGCACTTTTTAGTAATTCCAAATTCCAGCTCCTTGCAGTCGTTAGGTCATTTACAAAACACTGTGGGAAGCAAGAGGAAGGGACATACAATAATTGGTCCATGGTGCTCAGTGTCAGCACTCACCTGTTTACAAAGCCCCATGGAGCACACAGCTGCTGGGGACACTGGTGTGGGTGGGGCCACACTGAAGGGCATCAGGGAAAAGTGAGTCATGCCTGAGGTTACAGTGGCATGTGGCTCTTAGCATGCAGACAAGACTCTATTGTTCTTACACATTTTATTTATGTCTCATTTTGTTCTATGTTTATATCGTATTTAAATAATAATCTAAAGTTCGAGGGTATGTTACCCTAAACTTTTAAATAAAGGCTCTATTTTTACAGAAAAGATAGAATTGAATGGAGATGTGTTTGCTTTTATCTTTTCTCACAATTCAACTGTTAAGATTACAGGGGTAGCTGGGCGGGGTGGTGCACGCCTGTAATCCCAGCATTCAGGAAGCTGAATAGGAGGATTTCTGCAAGTTTGAGGCCAGCCTGGACTACACAGTAAGACTGTGTCTCAAAAAAGAAAGAAAGAAAGAACAACGATTACAGGGGCCTGGGGCTGGGTACCCAGAAATAAACTCAGAGGCAAGGCTTTTTGTATAGAACAACCCATGGTCCGGGTGACCGTATAGGGGTGGAGAAAGCAGGCAGGAAGGGAAGGCAGCCACTCAGTCTGTAATCAAATGGTTGTGGGTATTGGGGACCCTGCCTATGGGAGCTTTGGAAGTCAGTGTCTGTCAGGCCCCCTTCAGACTTGTTCCTTTGCCTGGGGAATTCATCCACCGATTGGCATGGGTGCTGGGCAGCATTCAAGGCAAGTTCAAGCTGAGTGCAAGGAGGCAGGTGAGTGCCAGGGGGCCAGAGAAGGTCTCCAACGTCACTGGCCACAATGAGACCTGAGCCTGTTCACCACCCTGGCAAAGTTCATCCCTCTACTGGTGACCAGGTCCACAGAAGGGTGTGGAACAGCCTCTTGGTGTCTGGCCTTGCAAACCCAAACTCCCTTCGCCAGCTCTCTCCTGGAGAGGGTCCCCCATCCTCACAGGATGTTCCCAAAGACCTATGGTGATGCCCAGCACTGTGCTGCAGTTGGCACCATTCTCCACTGCCAGGGTAGGTTCTAGGTGCTAGAGCCAAGCTTCCTGGATCCGACAGGTCCCTTTCCTTGGGTCCAGAAGCATTCCTGGCTGGCTGGGCCTGGAACAGTACCTTCCCACCTGCTGTGGCTACACTTCACACTTTGAGTGACTAGGCATGGCCCCATCTGCAGAGGAGACAAGAATGGGTCACCACTAGAGCTGTGAGAATGAGAAACTCCCTTCCTGAGGTCCAGCAGCAGCCCTGGGTTTAAGCCAGTGCTTTTTTTTTTTTTTTTCTAATCTTTTTAGGCAGGGTCTCACTTTATAGTTTGGTCTGGGCCTGAACTCACTATGTAACCCAGGCTAAGCCAGTGCTATTACTCATAATTGATCTTACCAATTCACCAGGACAAAGAGACAGTGACTATCATAGCGTAAGCAAAGTTCAGCTACCTGCTCCCTTTGCCAGACATGTAGTAGGACCTGTCTGGAAAAATAGCCAGCACTTCCTCTCCAGGTTGTCTCCAACCACTTCCCACCCCGCCCCCTCCTCTGTCAGGTCGCCTCTTGAGGTTCTCTCAGCTTGTGTGCTGCCTCCTTCTGGACAGAGGTGTGCTGACAGGATTGCTGAAGAGCTAGGGAGCGCTGTTACCTCCTGAGATCTTCAGCGAAGGGACTGGTTCTCGCATCCAAAGTGGAGGCTTGGCATTGAATAAATGAATGAAAGAATAGCAGAGTGAATTGATCTGTGAGTCAGAGCCAGGAGGCGGCTGGCAGTGGCTGACTTCCATGTAAGGTGGCTGGTGATTTTGCGTTAGATAATACCATCCCGGATCCATGCGGGTCACAGATGGGTAACTGTCCTTCCTCCCCCAGCATGTGCTCTGAGTGGGAGACAAACCGGTCCCTTAATCCCCTGATTGCAGCTTACTGTTCTGTACCTTACCGCTGGCCATACACTGTAGGACTTAATCTGTGGCTACTATCCATGTCCTTCTCCAACTTGTACACCAAGTGAAGCTGACATGAGAAAGGTTAGGGCTGCTTTTTTTATTTTTTAGGAAAATAGAACAGAGTTTTATCTATATTTAAATGAGTGAGTCAGTCCCATGAGTCAATTACTTAAAAGGTACTGCTTGGTGCCAGAACCTGTTCCAACCCACAGAGCCCCACCCCTTGGCATGTTATAATATAGGACACAGAGGTGTGAAAGCTTTCCATAAATTGTCAAGAGTCCTTGTTTTTCTGATTATCTCTTTATGTGAATTAGCAGGTGGGTCTTCCTAGGGAGGAAACTTGTCCTGCTGGGCAAAACCATCAGCAGTAGTGGAGGCCTCTCTGGATGTTGGTGCTCCAGGGTGAGGCTATCCCAGCCACTCTAGGCCTCAGCTTCTCTGGACACCAAATGGGCCATCTGGAAAGCCAGATTCCAATAGGAATCCTCCCCCATTTCTGAGCTTTAGGTCTTTGAATTTATCACACACACACACACACACACACACACACACACACACACACAGGCACGTGCACGCCTCTAAGTAGCTCTAACCTGCCCGGACCCTGATCTGCAGGATGTGAGACCTGTACGTCCTCTCCTGCAACTTGGCCTCTGAAATGACTGCCAAGTTGAACTTCTAAGGTAACATGTATCATTGTCCCCCTTGCTGCCTCCTTCCACCCCAACACTTGCACACCCAGGTTTTTTCAAAGTCCTTTAAGGAGCCTCACTGAATCCTCAGTTCCCCACCTGCTAAGAGGGGGCACCTGCTGCATGAGACCCCTGACTCAGAAACTCCAGAGACATCAGCACAGAGACACTGAAAAGTGGGGACCCTTATTTCTGTGTCGTAGATGAGAAGCCAAGGATGAGGGGTTAAGCAACCTTCACATAGCAGGGAAGGAGCAGAGCTAGGACTCAGCTGGTTCTGTCTACCCAAAGCTCACCTCCCATCCCCTCCCCTGGTTCCCAGGGGTGCATGTGGCTGCTCCCCAATCCTGGCACTGTGGGACTGCATAACCTTTGTTCCTTTCCTCCAGCCCCATTGTGATTAAATGTGAGTTAATGGATAAAGATGCTTGTTAGTTTTGGGACACTAGATAAAAATCTGTAACAGACCTAAAGTCCCAAAGTAAACTACTCAACTCCTTGTTTGCCCGGAACTGATGTTCCGGACACCACAATTTTTAGAAC